TGGGAGTGGCCCTGGACAGTGACCCCATAAAGCCACTCAGAGCAGCTGATTTTATCATGAATGAGAAACGAGTCACAACCAAGACCGACATGTGTGAATACTCTCCAGGAGGACAGAAGCCTTTCTCTGTCAGCAAAAGGAATTTGACAGCTCCATACCTGAAGGGCACTGGCCCTCAACCACAGCGTGGTGGGAGCTGCAGCAGGGAAATCTCCTGCAGGGAGAGGGGATCCCTCTGCCCTGGCCCTCCCAGCACAGGCACAGCTCACAGACACCAGAGACATTCTCCTCCTCCTTTCCCAGCATAGCTGAAACCCAGGACTGACATTTGCCAGCTGACTTCCTGCAACAACTCCAGACTCACTTTTTAACTTTTTAATACACATTGACAGCATGTAATTTTTCCAGAGTTATAAACACAGTCCCTATGAGTCTCAGATTCCCAGATTTTTTTTTCTCCATGCACCCCTTTTCCCTTACACTCCCTACTTCCAGTCTTGTAAACCAAACACAGACAGTGCAGGAGTTTCTGTGTGAGGAGCAGTAGAGAACAAGTTGGTTTCTGTAAGTGAAGCACAGAACAGTTCTCCTCCTGAGATGGTCTTCATGTTATTTTTGTCTCAAAGCAAATTAGTGTTCTGAAATTATCATTATTATTACTAAATAGCATTCCTTCCAAAATACCTCAGCTGTTGAACATTTAACTGCTAGTTTGCCCAGAAGGCAGAAAAAACAATTTGACTTCATTATAAACACTTCTTTTTGCAACATGAAGCAAATGAACTGTATTTTAAGTATCTGATTGTTGGAAAAAGAAAATTAAAGCACATCTTTTCAAAACCACATTGTCTTGCCTTCTTTATAATTACTGAATCAGAGAGACTCATCTTTCAATACTCCGAAGTGCAAAAGGTCATCAGCCTATGTAAGACAGCTCTGCTAATCAGCCCATCTAGCCAGCCTTTGGGGATCTCCCTGAGGCTTAATCCCTCATTTATTGGGACATACAGAGCTGATGGTCAAATACTCCACGTGATCTTGTCATGGCATCATCTCTCTAATGCCAGAGATGAGCATCTACAACATTCTACAAGCTGTGCTAACAAAAAACAACCCCAAACCCTTCATTCTAGGGATATCCCTCCACAGAAATGACCAAAGAATAACCAAATAAACACAGGATTTTTATGGTTCCTTCAATCCCAAAATCAAATGCATGAGAAGGAGCTGTGGCAGCATCAGCTGCTCTCAGTAACGTGTCAGGTTATTAGCAGGGAAGGCAGTGATGATGAGAACAGCTGAATTTACTCTGTTTAACGATGCTGCTGTGCCAAAGCCCTGCAGACACTTCCCAGCCTGTGCAAGGGACAGCACAGCACCACCAGCTCTGCTCTCCACCTCTCAAAATGCTTTCCCTTAAACATCTGCACTCCAGTCAGCTCGAGAGCTGGTGTGCAGAGATTTAGAACAATTCAGCAGCAACGTGTTTGTTACTAACTGAAGCCTTTCTTTAGAATAATTCACCCTTTCAGTGAACTCACACAACCCTTGTTTAATGAAGTTGTGTTTTTGCCAAATACAGGACTCTAAAATGAACTTGGTTTCATTGTTTTTTATGTGAAACAAAGACCAGTAACTGATTGGGACTTCCACGTGGTTCTTATGAAATGAAAAAGATGATGACAAATTTCAGCCAAGAACTCCAGCAGCAAGTAAGAGAAGACTTTGCTTCAAGCCAGCCTGAGATCCTGGCCCTGGCCATACAAGGATCACAACTCACCACAGAGAGCTGGCTCCACGTCGACCTCAGGGGCTTGTAGGGAAAAACAACCTTGTCATCCAACTTCTGCTCCTGGGGCTCAGACTCTTCATCAGAATCTATGTCCAGAGCTTTTTCCTTATAGTTCTGGTATAATACAGCATTTTCTGTCAAGTAACAACAGTATGTCAGTCATTGCTAGAAAGTTAGTTTAGCTGCTCTCATAAAAATTTAAAGTAACATTTAAACAATGAAAGAAGCCAAAGTGTCACTGTGCTGCTCACACTCCACGAGACAAAGATAGCAACTGATTTGGGCTGGACAATGGTGCAGTACAGTGACAATGGATCACTGTAGCCAAAGATCCTCCCAGACCGAATTAAAGAACAGATGTGGCCTTTGTCAAGAAAAAAAAAATAGCAAACAATTTTTTCTTGCTTGGTTTGCTGTACCCAGTTCTGTAATTAACCAGCAATTAGAAAATGGGATTGTGTGTCAGTGGAGCAGTCACTGATCTGCAGGTCCCACTATTTTCATGTCCAGGAAAAGCACACTGCCCACACCACCCCTTCTTCTGTCAACTCTAAATACTGTCTTCACATTCCACTGCTTCCCAATTTCAGAGATGTGAGGTCAGAACTATTCCAGATAGAAAGTTAGAAGCCTGTCTGAGTAAGCACGAGACCTATGAACCTTAAGACCAAATAAACTCACGGTGTATTTGAGTTGTGCATCATTAATTCCACTATCAGTGGGAGGGAGCCCAGGCGTGGAGCACTCCTGCTGTTTCCCAACCTCCCTGGCCACAGCAGTGAGCAAGGACAGAACTCAGCACCACAAGAACCCCCAGAGCAGTGAAGCCATTGAGCAGGCAGGCTCTGAAAGGTCCTTTCAGATGGGCCAGGCTTTGCATAACATCCAATCCTCCCCTACAAGGGAAAGGGGACCTGAAGTGGAAGTTTGGCTGCTCCTGCAGTCCCACACCTGGCTGGGTGGGTCTGTCCCACCTGCTCAGACCTACAGCCCTGCCCCAGTGCCAGGTGTGGCCTTTGGAGCAGCTCTGCAGGAAGGGTCTGTAGGGTTTATTCACTTCCACCAGAGCAAACTGTTAGAGCAGCTGAACTGTGGGAGGCATTACAGAGAAAAGTCATCAGCTGGGATCATCCAAGACAGAAGGGAGCCATTGGAAAGAATCTAAAAACATCATCAGGAGACAGTGTGAGAAGAGATAAAAACAACGAGTAGGAAAGGGGATGATGCAAAGAGAACACAGTGGGAAGCTCTGGAAACAGAAACAAGAGGAAGGTAAAACAGCAGCTGAGATGACCTCAAAGAGGCATTAAGGAGAGAAAAGCCAAGAGAGTAGCAGTTATTGTAACACAACTTCTATGGACTCATCACAGATATTCTCTTGATGAAATATTGGGAAAAGCAGCAAACTTGGCAAAACCCAGAATTAATGAGCAACACAAAAATTCAGCTCCACAGTGTTTTTCTGACACTTAAATTTGAAGCCTAGGTAGCACGAAAAGAAAATGTTTAGAGAGCCCAAGTGTTCAGCCCAGCAGGCTCAGCTGAGGAGAAGGCAGAACAGCTGTGGGACCTCCAGGCCAGAATAAGGACTCAGGTGTGAGCTGCAGGGATGGCCCCAAACCCATAACAATCAAATGTCTGCACCTGGGCAGTCCCAGAACATCCCACGTGCAGGAGGAGCCCTAAGGACTGCACAGAACTGTCAGCGCTGAGGCAAACACAGCCTCACTTTTTGGGAGGGACAGGAGCTTAAGTGGAAAAGAAGCCCCTGACACAGCTTTTCAGTCTGCTATTTCATGGTCTTTAAAATATCCCTAAGGTATGTCTAGTGCCAAAATTACAGTCCCACGTCTCAGCCATGTTACTGAAAAACAAGGTGCTGAGTCTTTGACTGCATACAAAGAAATGCCAAACGAGGCTGAAGCTCATTTCCCTTGGGAGTTATTAGCAAGTCTGGACAGAACAGGGCTCACCTTCCCCATCGAATGTCCCCTGTCCTTTCAGCATCTTCTGCAGACAATTTTAACAGAAAAGAGAGATATGTTAGAGGAGTAGAATGCAAAATAATCACAGTATCAAGAATGTGTTTTATTCAAGACTGGGGCACCAAATCAGCAGGCCCTAATCTGTAAACTTCAGATGTTGGACAAGAGTTCAGTAAAAACAATTGTGTCACCAGAGAAAGTGAAAAGCCACTCTAGTTTCATTTCTCTCCTGCCTTGTTTAGATTGTTTTCCCCGTGTTTTAAAAGCACACTGCACAGGCTGGAGAGGGGCTGTGAGCTCTCAGCTCAGCCCTGTGTCCCGGGGCTTTCTGCAGAGTGCAGCACTGACAGGCTGCCCTTCCACTCCGAGCACTTTGTGAAGGAGCCTCTGAAATAAAACAGCTGTTCTGGCACAACAAGCCCCAGGGCCCAAGAGTCTGCTTAATAAAACACTGCTTGCAGAGAACTCTGTAAGGACAGGACACTGTCATGTCCTCCTATCTTAAACAGAACTGTTTTAAGTCATTTACCAACCCAAACCACCCCACACTCTGCAGCTGCTCACAGTCTCATCAATTTCTGTTTCAGTCTTGCAGTTTTCACAAAAGCATCCACTGCCATAATTTCAGATTGGCTGAAAACTGCAATAAAGGTGATAATTATTTTGAAAGTTACAGCATCAGCTCTTGGCCTGGTGTACTTTACTACACAGAAATCTATGAATACATTTCATACAGTAACAAGTTATATTTAAAATAAGGAAATACAATTTTACACTACGGTAAATAAAAGAACGCTATCAGTATGTCTTTATAATTTAAGACATCAACATTCAATGTAAATCTACTATGAGATTCTAAGGGATTACAACCAAGATTTAAAAACAGGCATGCTGCTTTTACTTTCAGGCATTAAAATTCAGATACCTGAAGTGATTTCTATCAATTTAAAACTCACTCCGGGATTTTTAAAAATACTTTAGAAGTAGTATCTCAGATAAAGAAGTGAGGGAGGAAGTTCATTTTTCTGTCTCTATTCAAGCATAGACTTTATTACGGCAATGTCCCTTTTTTCCTGTTTACTCCTTTCTGGGACACAGGTTTTAAGCCCGTGGTTCGGTTGTAAAAGCTGGAGAATCCGGCAGGAAAGGCAGCCAGCAAAGGCTCTGAACCTCCTGGATTTCAACAGAGCCTGCCACCTCCAACACCTCGCACGGAAAACAGCACTTTTAAAACTCACGATGCAACTGCGAAAAGTTTTGTTGTTAGCTAATAAAGAAACCGAAAACTCCCGGCATTTAAGGAAAATGCAGAATCAGCAGGCCACGCTGCCACGGAGCCAACACCTTCACCCATCAGCACACCTCACCTTTATCCTCCCCAGGCTCGAGAACTTCTCTTTATCTTCAACCACCGCCTTCAGGATGGGCTGGGACATTCTGTTTTTCTTCTTGCAGTTGGCGGAGCCGTCCAGCTCCACGCCGCTCACCACGGCCCGGCGGTAGGACGTGGAGCGCAGCCCGCGCCGCAGCGCGCCCGGGCCAGCCTCGGGCTCGTCCTCGGGGTCGCTGCCCAGCGCCGGCCGGGGGCTCTCCACCAGGCTGCGCACCCGGAGGCCCCGCTCGTGGCCCTGGGGCCGGCTCTCGGCCAGGCTGCGGGGGATCAGCTGCTGCGAGCCCACCCTGCGAGCCGCGGGGCTCTGCGTGCTCAGCAGCGCTGGGGGCTCCGCGCCCGCCCGGCCGCTCCCGGGGGATGCCCCGGGCACCTCCGGGGGCTCGGCAGCCCGCGGGCACGGTGCGGGCAGGGCGCTGGCTCCGAACACGATCCGCTCCTGCTGCGGGGCCAGCACGGGCAGCCCCGCGGTCCCGGGCGGCCCCGCGGTCCCGGGCGGTCCCGAGGTCCCGGGCAGCCGCCGGCCCTGCCCGCTGCCCGCCGGGGACACGGTGCCGTTGGCGGTCGAACCGACGGGGCGGTCCGGAGCCAGAGCGAGCTCCCGGGAGCGCCGCTCCGGGGCCAGCGCGGGGGAGCCCGGCGGCCGCACGGTCCCGTTGGACACCGCTGCCATGGCGGGGCTGCCGGTGCCGGCGGGCCGAGTCACGGAGACGGCGCACCTGTCCTCCACGGGGAAGTCGGTGACGAGCAGTCCGCTGGGGCTCTGGTACGACTGCGGCCGCGGCTTGCTCCAGGCGAGGGGCTGCGGCCGGGGGGTCTCTCGCCGCCTCCAGCGCGGCGCGGCGGGGCCCGCCGGGGGCTGCCCGTCCATCGCCGCCCGCCCGGCGCCGCTCGCCAGGGAGGCGGGCGCGGAGCGCGGCTCGTCCGCCGCCACAGCCCCGCCGGGCGCGGGGCCAGCGCGGGCCGGGCCGGGCTGGGCGGCGGGGGAGGGACGGGCTGGGCCGGGCCGGGCAGAGCCGCCCCGCTCGCCCCGCCCGCTCCCGGTGCCGCTGCCGGTGCCGCTCCGGCCGCGCCCGCCCCACCTGCGGCTCGGCCGGGGGCGGGCGGAGCGGCGCTTCCGCCGGCGGCACAGCCTGGGCTGGGCTGGGCTGGGCTGGGCTGTACCTGATCCTCCCCCTGCCCCGCGCAGGTAGCGGAGCCCGGCGGTGCCCGCAGTGCCCGTAGTCAGTGCCCGGCGGTGCCCGGAGTCGGTGCCCGCAGTCGGTGCCCGAGCTCTCGGCTCGCTGGCTGGGCAGAGGCGCGGGCAGGACGGGCAGAGCTCCCCGCACTCCCCGTGGCTGTCCTGCCCGGGAAAGGCTTTCAGTGCTCGCTTGGCTCCCGGCCGTGGTGGCAGTGCCACCCCCCGTGCCTCAGCTGGGCAGCGGTGCCACCGCCGGGGCCGTGTCCCTACACCCGCCCGTTCATTAGGGACACCGAACTGGAGCTGGGGCTGCCTTCCTGCCTGCCGAGACCGCTGGGGAAGGAACGGCTCTGTGGTACAAAAATGGGATGTAGACATTGTATCTGCTGGGAGTTCTGACAAACTACAGCACCTGACAAACCTGTGTCTGCAAAAATGGTGAAACTTGGCTGTGACTTTGGGACAGCTTGTAGCTTAAACATACATCGAAGGAGAACGGAGTAGATTCTAAAAAGCAAAACAAAATCAATGCTCGTTTCTGTGCCAGGGCATGAGCTCTGGCCGCTCCAGCAGCCCAGCCAAGGGTCCCTGCACTCCCAGGGGGGAGAGCTTCAGCACAGAGTCCTGAATTTAAGTGACACTGGCGTTCTTCTGCTCTGTTACATTCAGTAATAATTGCAACATGCCCATATTTTGTTATCTGCTCTTCTACAGTAAAAAATCTGTTTAACAATCAGAAAAAATCTATAGAGGAAAATGTAAGGACCAGACAACCCTGTGTACATGCAGTTAAACTTCAGATGTATTATTAATTCTTCTGCCAGGAGAACCCAGTAAAACAAAAAATCTTGCTAAGAGTCAAATTAAGCAACGCACAGAGAAATTAAAATGAACAAATGTGTGTGCCCACAAATGAGACAAGACTGCAAATTGCCACTCCAGCTTCAAACAGCCAGACCTGAAGGGAGAAGCCACAGGCAGAGCCTAAGATGCTGGTTTAGTTGTCACTTGGGATTTCCCAATGGATTATTTCTAAAATTATCTCTCAACTTTCCACATGAAATTGCCAAGGAATTAGATGTAGTTGCAGCATATTACTTAACTCATAAATCCTAATTATTAATGACCGAGGTAATCAGCTTTTACAAGATTATTCTCTTGCACATACTTATTCACTGTGCTGCAATTACAGGAATCATTTTGATTCCTGAACAGCCACCTCAGTGTTCCATTTCATGCACAGTAAAAGAGAAATAAAACCTTACAATAAAATTGCCATCATAAGAAATGTAAAATCAACTCTGTAATTTAAGAAAGAGATGTAAACGTGGTTATTAAGCCTTCCTACAAAGCCAGGTCACTGTGGAATCGCTGAGGCTGTTGTGTAGCAGTGCCCAAAGCTGAGCTGCTCAGAGCCCGGGCAGGGCAGTGTGTCCTTCCCTGGGCCAGATCCCTGCCCAGCACAGAGCCTGGAATGCTGCCCCCTTGGCATGGGGGGCACGAGCCTGCAGGGAAGCTTTGCACCCATCTTCACAGCCCTCCACTTAACCCAGAAACGGACCTTGAGCATTTTTGAGGGAGAGATTTAAGTGAACCTCCCATTTCCCAGCCACAAGACCTAAAAGCTGGTGTCAGGAACTGGCACCCAGCCAGAAGCATTTCCATTCCTGCCTGCCCCAGGCACTCTGTGGTGTCAGAACCCCACGTTTATCACAACCAGCATGAGGCAGGTGGAGGTCTGAGGGTGGGCACAGGTGTGTCCAGTGGGGAACATAGTTCTAAAAATCTGCCAAGGGAGATGGAGCATTCTTCATCTTCTCCCTACATCCACATCAAAAGCACACTCTGCCTCTCTGTGCAAAGAGCAAAACCAGCAGTGAGACCTGGCTTTATTTCTGAGCCCAAAGCTTCATGTCTCAAACACAGAGCTCACTGCCTGTGTCCTGTAGGATGGTCCTGGCCATGCCCTGCACCTTCAGAGCTGTGCAGGTGGCCCTGGCTGCTGCCTGGGGCCAGTCCCTGCTGGCCCTGGCCTCTGCAGGGGCACTGCCAGCACATCTGTCCCCTCTGTGCCTCCAGAGAGGGCAGGGCTGGAGCGGCTCCGGGAGAGGTGCCCGGCTGCTGGTTGATCCCAAAGGATTTGAGTGCATGCCCCACGTGTATGAAGTGGCAGCGAGGGAGGAGCAGCATAAAGAACATTCTTCTGAAACTCTTGTGTTTCCCTGGCCTGTTCACAGGCAGCTGGAGAAGAGGCAGCCGTGCTCTGCTCACAGAAGTCTCTGTCCCTGAATTGGCATGCAGGGGATAAGGTTCCCTCTGTCCCACAAAAACCCTTCCCCAGCACAGGAGTGACACGGGTCACCACGAGCAGAGACAAGACGAGGTGTCAGTGTGACAGAGGCAGGCACTGGTGACATCTTGTGTCACTGGTTTCTCTCCTTTTCCAGGGACATGAACCGAGGGAGTGGAGCCTCTGCCCAATGCAAGCAGCAGGATTTTCCCGAGGAGCACTCGGTTACTCCAGCAACACAGGCACAGCACTCAGGAAGGGTCCAGCCTTCCGACCTCCTGCCCCTTTCTTTTCTCTACATAGGCTGTGAGAGCCTCTACTCTGAACACTGCTCAGCCAAATTTTAACTGTAAATCACTCCAAGATGGCAGAAGACATTTCATTATTCCTATTTTCATCTAAATTGGTTTTGGCTGTTGCTAAAATACCCAGCAATAATAAAAAGCTTTGCAGCATTAACTGAAAGCTTTTAGGGGAAAACCACATCTCATTGTGCTGCAGGAATAAAGGGCCTGGTAATGCCCAGGGAGCATCAAAGTTGAAACAAGATGCTGTTTAACTGCTGAACTGGGATGAAAAGAAAAGACTAAGAAAGAAAATACCCAAGAAACATAACTGAGCACTGAGATACTGCTGCTTCTGCCACTCTTTCTATGATTGTAAAATTAACTGTGTATTTGCTAATATTTAGACTGATATTACTTGTTTCCCTCTTGATTTAGCAGCACTAATTCCTGATATGTCTCTTGCTTTCCTGCCTCAGGGGTGGGTGCAGAGATTGTCTCCTCTGTGAGAGAAGGAGGCAGCTCCATAGTTTATGGAGTTGATTGGGAGTTTTCTAACTGGAAGTATTTGAGATTTCAATATGTTAGCTGTATTTTGTGTGTGTGTGTGTATTTCATATTTTAATGTGAAAAACATTTCCTGCCTTGCTTGAATTATATGTCCTTCTTTGGTTTTGCTTTTAATTTTCCAACACAGTTTGTATCTCCCAATACTTTCACCAGTAAAACTCTCCCAGGCTTCAAGGTAGATAATCAGGATTAGGTCAGTCTTACATTAAAGTAGGTAATTTCTGTCAAAGGCTATAAAACCTTCCAAAAGTTACACCTATTTTTAATTTTTGTTCAGTGAACATGAAATTATTCTGAATATTGAAGGAGAACTGTGAAACTGGGAAGTGTGTCCCTTCACCTCAAGTTTAGTTATACACATTCTTTTTTCCAGGTTTACAATTTAATTTTAAAATTCTGACAGTGAATTTCTTCTCAGTAACTCAAAGACCATTCTTTCCACAGGAGAACAGTTAAGAGAAAATCCTAGAAAATGTAGATAAAAGCTCTTTAATCTGATGACTGTAGTTCATAAGATGTCGCTATTTAAAGAGTTTGCAGGATTTCAAACATCTCCTCACAAAAGGATGGAGGCACTGCTTGCCATAGCTGGAGAGTTTTTGTGGTTGCCATGAGAAACTCAGGCAGGCTGGGAGCCTGCATG